TTCACATGTGAAGAAATTTACTTTTAGTGAGCTCTGTCTTTGCATAAATAGGGATGCCAAGGAGCGTATCAGTCTCTAAATGACACACAGATTGCTTTTTGACATAAGGCCTTTAAAGCTTTGTTCTGCTTATAGTATCCTACATACACCCTAGAACTTCTGTGAGAGACCAGAGAAAGTATACTTCCTTGCTGTATGTTTTGTGCATACCCATTTTAAGATTCTGTACACTGATGTATAAGGAGAGGTGCCCTTTTATTCTTCTTTATTCCTAGTATGGCCCAACACCAAACTACACAAGCCTTATTTAAATTAGTAGCTGAGAGACAGGGATAAGAGTCCTATTTGCAGACATCAGGATAGCTGTAGTGATTTGTGGAGGTCTGCATTGGATGCAGAGAATAGAAGTGTTGGGCAAGGCCAAAGTTTCCAGGGCCTAGCTCATGTTGCCTGACATGAAAGTAACATACAGTTAATTAAATTATTGTTAAAAACACTTTTTCTAAAAGAACAACATATTTTAAAGATTTAAGGAACGTTTTCTGACAACATACATAAAATAAGAAAAATATGTTAGCAAATGTTACTTGGAAGTTTGCTGGCCTTGAATGTGAGAAATGCTGCTAGAACAGCTTGTAGGAGTTCAATATGCCAATTGGCAAGCCAGTGAAATCCTGCACAGGGTGGCTGGATAACTTATGCACGTCACTGGATACTGCGTGCTTGCTTCCTTCAGGTGATAAGTGCGGGAGATGCCAAGCAGTGTGAACACCTGCAATAAGATACAGCAATACTGAACACAGACACAGGAAGGAAAAAAAGTCCTGACTCTGGTATAAATTGGTTACTCTTAATTTTTCAGCTTTGTAGTTGTCTCTTCTACAGCTATGGTACTTTTCTGGATTTGGGAAGGGGACACAGATCTGTGCAAGCTCTAGTTTCTTTCCTCAGGGTAGAAATGAGCCCTCAATTTAAGTATGGTTACCTGGATGTGACAGAGAAGTTAGAAGTAAAGGCAGGTTTCCCACTGGGTCTGGTCTACCTTCAAAATACTATAGGAGATAACTCCCTTGATCCCAACATGATGTAGGAGGGTGAATAAAGCTCTTTGAAGCTCCCTCAGCACTTGATGCAGACGACATGGGGGACTATATACCTGTAGAAGCAGAACACGGGCCAGGCAATAGCTGGTTTGATAGCCTTGTCTCGTAGTCAGTGCAGTCAGCATTGTAGATGCCCCATGTATAGTGTTTCTTGAATCTTCCTGCCTCACTTTAGTGACTGTCTCTAAGCTTTTTATAAAAAAAACCCAAAACCAAACTATAATGGTTTTCCATCATTATCAATGGCATTTAGACTCGATGCTTTTTCATCTGTTCCCTGCCTCCCCCTCTGCAGTGAATCACAGAAGGACTGTTTTTCTTAGTCATTTACTGTAGGTGTTGGCACACCATAGCACAGGCAGCTCAGGAGGAAAATTTAGCAGACAGCTGTCTGGCAATTCAGAATAAAATCCAAGTCCTTTTGTGAATTCAAATTCTTTGTTTACAAAAAGAATAAATGTTTCAACTGCAAGATTCTTTTTCTACAAATATGAAGGCTTCACAGTTCAAGAGAGATAGGGAGCTACTGGAGAGAGTCTAGAGGAGGGTGACAAAGATGATTGGGGGATTGGAGCATCTCTCATATGAGGAAAGGCTGAAGGAGCTGAGACTCTTTAGCCTAGAGATGAGAAGGCTGAGGGGAGACCTTACCAATGTATCTAAGTGTCTAAAGGGTGGGTGCAAGGAAGATGGAGTCAGGCTCTTTTCAGTAGTTCCCAGTGTCAGAATGAGGGGCAACAGGTACAAGTTGGAACGTAGGAAGTTCGATTTAAATATGAAGAAAAACTTCCCAGTGAGGGTGACAGAGCATTGGAACAGGCTGCCCTGGAAGGTTGTGGAGTCTCCATCTCTGGAGATATTCAGAACCCACCCGGATACAGTCCTGTGTAAGGTACTCTTAAGTTATATTACTTCAGTGGGAGAGTCGGACTAGATGATCTGTGGGGATCCCTTCCAACTCCAGCAATTCTGTGATTCTGTGAAGTACAGTTCAGTGTGTATGTTATTGGAAGAGAAGGTGGTTATGACTTGGCTTCGCCTCACTGAAATACGACATTTCTTTACTTTGTGGTACCTCATGTTTGATATTGATCTCACAGGTGCTTTTTGATATTGGGCTTTTAACTTGATCCGTAAAACTCCATTCTGGCTTCAGACCACAGCTTGTCTGTTCATGGATCGTTATTCTGAAATAAGTTTTGTGCTTTAACTTCACATCTTACTTTAGTTCAAATTAACTTGAAGTGCAGGTACAAAAAGCCTTTAGGAAAAAAGTTACCATTCTTCTCAAGAAAATTGAGAAGATTAATAGTATAATTAAAGTTGGAGTTTATGTATCTGAGGCCAGTTCCAGCTCACTACATGCTTGTGAGGACTGACAATATTGATGAGTGGGTCAGGACAGATTCTGTGCTGGTCTTACCTTCTTTGATCTTCTGGATCAAACATGTTTGATACTACTTCAGCTTTCTGAAGGACTACAACAAGCACTTAAAAGGTGACCTAATTATTTTTTAAAGTGGAAAATTCAAGAAATCAAAAGATAAATCCACAACCATTGAAGTGTCCCATAAAGACTTAGCCTTATTACATAACACTTTCAATTCTATTTCATTCTCACCTGGGCCATTTTAAGGATGTAGGATCACTTGAATACTTATCTGGTCATGAAGAATGTGGAAAATGGCTGGTTTCATAAACCCAGGAGCTCATATCCTATTCTCGTGCTGTTATGAAGAGTTAAGTCACTCATAAGTGTTGGATGGCAGGAAGTACAAGTAACTTTATACAGTAAGCTTTACTCTTTCCATAATCTTATGTACTGTAACAGTAAAAATGTTGAGGTATTTTGTGACCTTGCCCTTGGCTACTTTAGGAAAGAGAGATGGTTTAGCAGATATAGGATCTTCTGGACCTTCCAGATGAGGCTTTGCTTTTACCTGGTCTTTTGGGTAAGCACCAGAACTATCACAGGGAAATGCTGAGCATCCAAAATGGGCAGGGAAGTTGAGTAGTGTTGTGTAGGGGAAATGCTGACCTCAGGCGAGAGAACATACATGTCTGCTTTTTCCTTCTTCTTTGCTATGATTCAATGGGTAAGTATGAAAAAGCTGGCTAGAGTGTTTAAAACCCAATCCTGGCTTCCCAAATTCCCTGGATTATTAGAAAAAAAATCCACCTAGCTGGATTAGCTGAAGAAGCATGACTGATAATGGTATCCTAAGCTAAGCACCTAGATTGGAAACAAAACTGAGAGACCTAGCCATGTGAAGTGTACTGGTGCCTGCAAAAAACAAATCAGATATCCATCTGGCTCAGGTGTTACCTAATTCTGAAAATCTTGGTGTTGTAAACACGAATGACGTTTTTTGTGTCTCCCATTCACAGATTAAAGTACTATATAAACTGGAAACATTATTTTCATGCCTCTGAGGTAATGAGAATAAAGAATTAATTCAAGACTACAATAATGACTGTTCAGCTATAAAGAGCAAAGGAAAACGGAGAAGCAGAGTGGCTGGATAAAGTTGTAGGTGTCTCAGAACTGTTGTGTAAAAAGTCACCTGGGAAGCTAATAAGGTGATTAATATTTTTGTGTGTTCTTTGGATATTTCTGCTTTCCTACAGTAGACATGCATTCTAACCAGTTGCATAATGGGATTTCAGTCAGTGGAACAGCACAGAAATGTTGACCTGCTACTGACCGTGACGATTGCTACAAGAAGGCGTTCTGCAAGCAAGATAATAGCTAGTGCTATTTGGTGTGGGCCTCAATAGTCCTTCCACTGCACCGCTGGAAATGGTCACTTAAGTTCTGGTGCTGCTGAAAGCCGTTTATAACAATAGTTACGCTTCTAGTGCTTGAACGGAGGCCAGAATCAGATTAGATTAAAGAGCATTTCGCCCTTCAGTTAAATGGCATTTTACAAATGCTTATCCAGTTTGTATATGTAAACATGGGACTTCAAGGCTCCAATCACAGTGGTAAGGATTAAGGAAAAGTCAAAGTGCAAAAAGTTTTTCGGGTGAGAGAGCCGGAAAATAGAGTATGAAGAATGATGAAATTGTACCACATACAGGTAAAATAAATTTAAGAGTTTTATAGCTATAGAAATGCCTTTTTTGTTGGTTGGTGTTTGGGTTTTTTTGTTGTTTTAATTTTCTGGCAGGCAAAATTTTGAGGGTGCCTAAAATTCTCTCACTAAAACTGCCAAATGCGGTTATTGAAATTCATGAACCCAGCCATTGCCAAAAATTCTATAACTGATTAACTGAAATGCAGGTATTGTAGGTATGAGTCTTGGGTCAGAGAAAACCCATGCCTTCCTTTTTTTCTTTTAGTAATTGTTTGATGCAATTTCTATATGCTAATGAGCACCTCTTACAAAATCGTTGTTTCTATTATGCATACCAAGCAATGGACAATCTTATAAGGTGAAATTCTAGGTCAAAATGGACAATCTTCTTTTAGTCCTCTTCACTTCAAGATCATATGTGAGCTCACTTTACTGGATCTTCATTTGATTTTCAGTGCTCCTTAGATTGATGGAGGAAAGACTGGCACAGTATATAAGCAACACCCAATAATATGTGAGAGGAACAGTACTCTTTTTTCTGAGGTAGTTTTACACCCATGCCAAATAATTACCTCTATTTGAAGAGAAAAAATAATTTGAGGGGCTATAGTGATAGTTTGTTTCCTCAGCTGAAAAGACTCTTGAATGTGTGCTGCTGGTGCCTAAATTCTTGAATACTAATTCCAAACATGATGTAGGGGAAACTTGTGTGATCGGTAAAGACATTATGAGGACACACTTGTCAGTATTTTAAAGGGCTGAATAAGAGAATAAAACTTCAACCAAATGTTCTATTTCTTTATTCTTGCCTTTGTTTCAGATGTCATCTCTACCAAGGAGGGTGAAATCTGAAGCCAAAGCCCTTACATCAGGATGTGAACTACCTTCATTTCTTAATTCGTAAGATTACTTCTTTTTTAGGATTTTTTTGAAAGTTTGTGCTAAGCATGAACAATTGGGTAAGAGCAACATTCAGTTTCTGAGAGACTGGTTACGAAGCTTAAGTGTACAACACTTGAGTTATAAAGCACAAATTACCTAAGCTCTTCACGCTCATAGTGAACAGAGGCTGAAACAGAATTGCCAGTTGGCCAAACAGAATCAGGTGTGTACACATCCCAGTGGCCAGGTTCAGGAAAGCTTTTTTAATTGTTCTGGTCATTAGGTCTTCATCAGCATGAAAGACCTGCATTTGCTGTTTCTACATACTTTTCTGTTAATTTTTCCTGTTTGCTTCCTTTCATGTCAGAAAATACTCTTTTTTTCTTCTTATAAGCAATATTATTCAATTATTTGTTTTTCAGAAGCTCTGAATCAGAGGAGGAGGAAGAGGAGTGGGAGCCAAAAAGCAAAATTGCAAAGAAATCTCAATTGCTAAAGAAAAATGAAGCAAAACCTAAAAAAGTTGGTACTCCACGGGCAGCTATGGCTAGGAAAAATGTCAAGAAGGTAGCAGTAAAAGAGGAAATGGTGAGTATCTGTAGGCAAGAGACATTTATTTACTGTCGTTGGCAAGTGACATGAGCAGAATTTTTCCAACTCTGATTCACTTTGTTGCCTGAGTCTGCTCTGCCCATCTGATTCCACTGCTACTGTGAACATTCAGTATATCTCATAAATGTGACTCTTTTGTGTATTAGTGTCCCACATCAAAAGGTACTCCTTTAAATTTTTGGCCAATGATAATGGGACATGTTTCGGGGACACTCTGGATCTTTGGGGAAGGTGTGGCTCTTCTAAGGTTAACAATATGTTAGCAGACCAAATCTTAGTTCCAGCTCCCATGTTGCATCTAAGACCTCATTAGAAGAGTGCTTTCCTACCCTGCTGTTCCATGTTTTGTTGAGATGAGTGAAGGAAAGAGCTGTTGGTTTGTGTCTTTTGAAGGAGACCCCAGTTAAGCTCTTTCCAGGATCATCTTATTTGATCTTATAAATCACAGTTCTGCTGGGTATGTTTGTAAGATATATTTCACATTACTTGATTTCTGGCTTGGCATTTCCTTGCCAGAAATACATCACTTGGGAAATGATGTATGATGTCAAGTCTTCATAGGTTCTAAGTGAGGTGTTAAACCAATTTGTCACAGTCAACGCTTAATATGGTTTCAATGCCTTTTTTTACAGGATGTATCCTTACCTGTTGCTCCTGCAGAAGGTAATAGAATTCAGCTTCTAAAACCTAAGGAAGAAGGTGCAGGCACTAAACCAAAAACTTTAAATCGAAAACCAGAAGTGCCTAAAAAAAGGGAAATAAATTCATTTCAAGGGAAGAATGTAAAGAGTTTAGAGAGTGATGAAAAGCCCTCGACAAGTGTTCCTGTAGTGGGAAATCAAGTGAAACATGAGAAATCTGACAAGGACTTTGCATTTGATGAACCACCTTTTAAAAAGATTAAGTCAACTATGTGTCCTGAAGGAAAACCAGTAAAACATCTAGGAGGCAACAAAATAAAAGAAGAATATGAAATGAACTGGGATATTGTACAGGTATGAGATCTTTTTCTGATGTATCAAATGAAACCATTTCTTATATAATTATTACTTAAAATATACCATTTGAGTTCTCTTGGCATCAGTTGGATGCCAATGTCAGAATGTACTGTTTACCTCTGCTTAAATGGTCATAATACATGGATAAATATAAATGTTGGTTGGTAACTGTTAAAAGTTCAAATTGCAGCATTATTCAAAAATCTGTTACTTAAGCAGTTCTTAGTATAAAGCTAGCCTCTAACAGTTTACACATTTCTTCTGTCTCGGCACATGGATTATTTTTTATTTTTTATTTTCTGGATATAGTCAATTGAAACTTCTACAGGAAGGGATGCTGAAAGATTTGGAATGTCTGTGTGCATAGTTTTTGAATTTTTAAGATTTTATGTGGGTCATTTCATCACAGAAGCTCATTTTAGAGTGGATATCAATTTACAGTACCATCATGGAGGAGATTGCATTCTTGGAACTACAGTGACATCAAGGGAGATATCATCTTTGTTTTTGTAGGATGTTAACATTGAAGCCATTCAGATGAAGACAGTTTTAGGATAGCTCCAGTTCTGGGAGGCTGGGTATGGTTATGGGAGATTTATATTAACAGAGTGGGAGTAAATTGGATACATCCTATTCATCATCCTTAGCACTGTCTGCTTAAGAGAGGTTCCCTTACTATTCTAAAATATTCCTGGAAATGCAGATGGAATATTTGATCTTTTTGTATTGCTACTCTAGAAGCGGTGAATATGACTATGCAGGAGTTGTTATATTTTTAGGCTTCAGAACAAAACTTCTGAAAGGCTTTTTATATTAGCTATTTATGGGAATAATTGTAGCAAAGCACAAGCAAACGGTGATGGTTAAAATGTTACTAAGCTAAGGTATTTGTATATTTTGTCCTGCTTTTTGTGAAGATACACTATAACTTTATCTTTAGAAAGCCCACATGTGTACAAAATCATGTGTAACTTGGTGAGGCTTGATTCATCTTCAAACCTTCATTAATATCATGCTAGTTTCCAATCACTGGTGGATGGTATTTGGATCAGCTTTGGTTTTGTGGGTTTTTCCTTTTTGTTTTGTTTAACCATGAGGTACAGCAGTATTGGTCTTTGAAAAAAAAGTTCTATGTTTCCTCTGTTGCCATATGTGTTTTGTTGTCTTTCTGATTTTTGGATGGCTTTTTTTGTTCCCAAGAGGCACTCCTTGCATTTTTTATTATTTTTTTTCTGTAGTTACTAGTCTCTGGAAACATTGTTTGCTGCTTGTATTTCTGAAGTACTTGGTGTGGTGGCTGCATTCATGGAAAGTCTGGCATTCACCATAATATTCTGGGGTGGTTTAACCTTTGAGAGGCTGTTCAAAACAATCTGTCACCTCTCTTCAATGTGCTGTGTTTTTTGCCTCTTACAGGCCTTGTCAGAAATAACAAATGTTGAACCATGGGTATGTGCAAACTTAATTCGCCTCTTTCAAGAAGAAAACACAATTCCTTTTATTGCTCGATATCGAAAAGAGCTCATCAATAATTTGGAGGCTGATGCCTTGCGAGAAGTGCAGCAAACACTGGAAGAGCTACAGTAAGTAAGTTAATACAGGGAACTATTTGGGAGGGAGGTAAGTAACAACATACATCAATTATGAAAGAAGTCCTGAAGAAGAAAGTTTAAAACTGAGGTAGTTATGCATTTTTTTTTCTTACAATTAAAAAAAGATGGCTAGCCTTATTAATTGCTAAAGACAAAGCTAAAGCTGCAGAGAAAAGCTCTTACTAGAAGAGTAGTTTATAGGTTCTAGAGATATGTAGCCTGATTAGATGTAAGCTGCACCCTTTGAAAAAGAATCACTGAGTCCCTTTGCTCCCTGCTTGAAGCAGCAACACCTCTAGTGAAGAGCACTACTTGAGGTCACAGTGAACCAGGAGGGCAGGCAAAACTATCCCAGACCACTGTAGGAAAGAAATTATCAGCAAAGCATACTATGGGGGTGGATGAAACTGCTCTCATTCCTTCTTGCTTTTGAGATGGCAAGGGAACAGTCTTGCCAGCTCTTCTGTCAACATGGTGGCTTTCTCCTTGTACTTCTTGCTGTTCCCTAAAAGGAGATTATTCCCAAAAAGGGAAGGTGTCCCGATAGAGTTCTTGTCTGAAAAAGTAACTTAAATCATAACAAAATAACTTTGCTGCCTGCAGTTACTGACAGGTATTTTATTGAAGGTCTAAGAGCTTAAAACCTGGTAGTTTGTACTTGATACTGCAGACCTATCTTGATATGAATTACAGCTGTAAGTGCTCATGGACATGGATTTTTATTTGGCCTTTTTATTTGGCTTCCAGGCTGGTAATCTTGCAAAAATGTATGTAGCAGTAATAGCTATCAGTTGCTTGTGATTTTTCTTAAAGCTACCACAAGGTATTTTGATACAGTTTTGAACTAATTGGAGAAAGAGGTTAATAAGTAGAAACTCCTTTGGATTACCAGACTTGTTTTGTTGAGGATTAACATGAGATACAATCTTGAGGGGTTTGAGAGCTTCAGCTTCTGAACAAGGTCACAAGGCCTTTTTAATCCACCATGAAATGTGACCGTTAATGTCAATCTCTTGTATTTTAGTACTGTTGCAAAGAAGACACATACAATGATACAAAAATTGAAGAAAGAAGGAAAATTGTCTGGATGCCTTTTAACAGCATTATTAAATTGCAGAACTTTGGAAGAATTGGACCACGTGGTCAGTACACAAGTCATTTTCAGAACATCCTTAGTTTATATGTAATCTTGCATAACTAAATAGTGCAGAATGCAGAGTACATAGCATGACTGAAATATTTACTTGCATTTTAGTAACTGTGGTTTTGTTTGTTTTAAGTCTGCACCTTATAAAACTGGGAGTAAAGGCACCAAAGCCCAGAGGGCCAAGCAACTGGGATTAGAACCTGCTGCACTCTCTCTGCTACAGAATCCCATGGGACTCAATCTCTTTTCTTACATTAGACCCAACACCAAAGGTGGGTGCTGTTCTTCTATGAGCAGTAATGTCCTAAATGTTTGAATATATTTTAAAAAGTGACTTAATTTAATTGTTCTTATGTTGCTAGAAGTTACACAACTATTTAAAATTCAACAGTTCTTTCAGCAACATGTGGTAAAAGTTTACATTTAATGCCATGGTTTTCCAACCTTTCCTGTCTTTTTGTATTGTAAATAGTAATAATTCTGGTATATGAAACACAGAAGTCTGAAGATGTTGACACCTGTTTTTACTGATAGAAAGGGAACTGCACTATGCACCAGAGACCTCTCCATGGTTCTACTCTTACTTGAATTGTTTACTGAACACCAGTTGTTCAAGGGGCTTATGCTCATAGTTTTTACTGAAGTAATGTCACCCATCAAAGTGTATCTTAATAAAAACTGGCCTTTGTGACTGGGAGTGAGTGGAAGAGTTCTTGCTGTTGAATCACAGTAGGTGTTGCAGAAGATGTAATGTCTGAAATTTGAGTAGGAACTTAATTGTGTTTCTTTGTGAATGCAGTTATTGGTGAATCTGTAGGGGGCAATCTCTGACAACAAAAGACTAAAATTCCTGCAACCTTCTGTATAGTGTTAAAATAGAGAAGTGCTTTTCTTCTTCCCTGCCCCAACATTTATTTTCTGAATTTTAATGTAAAAGTGCTGAACCTACTGGTGAAGCTGACTTACTGTTCCCTCTTCTATTGTTCCTTTATTTTATTTAAATATTGTTTATAAAATAATCCTAACTTTGCATTGAAAAGCAGTTACTAAATACTCTGTTTATATTATTGCATACGTTTTTATTTCATCCAGTGCTACACTGCAACCATGTGTCTGACTATTCTGGCAGTCTAAACAGGCAAACCAAAATCTTCACGGTGGAAGTTCCAATAAATTATTTAAGGTGCATTCAGAATGGAGTGCTATTTGTTGCAGCATAAACACCTCAGTTTTTTGAATCTGTAAATCTGTTTTCAATTTTGAGTTAAAAATATCGTGGCTTAGATTTATATAATCAGAAACTACATACATATATGAACTGGGTCACTTTATAAACTTGGAAGCTAGTTGACAACCTATATATGGTTTGAGATCAGAGTGAACTTCTATTAAAAGCATGAGCCATTAACTGTGCAGGAAAGTTTTCATCAAATCTTAATATTCAGTTTAAATTCTCAGTGTTTTTAAACTTATTCTAAAAATAAACTGAAATAAAAAGAGCAGTTCATTTTTCAAAGCCAGATATTTGAAAGTTATGGAAGAAGGATCAGCAGAAAACTTTGTTCTTCCTTTTAGTTATATCTGTCGTCCAATATTTAATTAAACAAGCATGTGCTCTTTTTTGCAATGGACACAGTTAATGCCTGTATGAGTGGTGCTTGTTGAAAAGGATTTTTTATTATTATTTCTTTAATCCTTACTGGTTTTGGTCTGTTCTTTCTCCTTCAAATTCTCTGCAAGAACTAGAATAATGTTGCCATGTGTACTTCTGGTACTTTTGTGCCTTGTAATAATTCATATTCAATATAATGCATGTTTTATAATTTCCTTAGTTCTGAATTCTGGTGTTGCACCATACCAAATGCTAACTTGTAAATGTAAAGAGCCAGATTCCACAACTTCTGATCAGTTCAGACATTTAATGACATATCCTTTTTCTCACACTCTTGTTTTTCTTTTTGGCAAGGAAGTTTAGTTTCTTCTTTTTTAAAAAGATCAAGATTTTTTTTTAATAGTGTGTAACTCTAGAGCCCAGAAGCAGGGTTGTGGATTCAACAAAAATATTAGTTATTAGACCTATGCAGGTATTTCTAAATGGTGTTAATAGAGCCCTTTTAAGATATTGATAGTCTGTCAGAGAGCAGAGTAAAAAATAATGTGTATTGAAGGAGACACTTAATCCTGCATCTGCCCAATATGGGGTTCTTGCTCTCTCTGAAGCATTTGTTTCTGACCATTGCTAGAAGCAGGGTTAAATATATTGATTTTGAAACGAAGAATGTCTGATTTATTTCATTACTTTCTGCTTCTGGTCCAGCTTGACCACTGTGCTGAGAAGAACACTGTGCCACTTCTCTGGTATTTCAAGTGAGGGATGGTTCTGTATATCGGGAAGTTGAATGATTCTGCTATCAGATCTCTAGAATACTTGTTACACAGAGAAAGTTCAGGAATGCCTGCAAAGATTTTAGGCAGATTCTACATCAGTAGCAAAGTATGTAAATTTGTGCTGCGATTGTTTGTTTTGTTACAATCTCAAAAATTATACTTGAATATCCAGTTTTACTGTTGTAAATTCTTAATTTGTATGGCAAATGTCAAGATGTATTAGCATAAAAATAACAAAATTACTATCTTTCACTCATTTTAATGACATTCTAATTTATGATACGGCATTGGTTGCTTTAGGCTCACTAAAATTGTTTCGTAAGTTTTAGAAAGGAAGCTTAGTTAAAATTCTAATAAACTAAGGTTCTTCATTGAAACCTCTGCAAATCAGTTGGGTATCTTGCATCAATTTTCTTTCAGCTTGTATGTATCTTATTAGTGCTTGTGCAGTTGTGTAAAGTAATTTTTCACATTAGTTTTTTTAATAATTAACTGTTTTTTTCTTCTAAGGACTTTCGACTATCCAGGAAGTAGAGGCTGGAGTACAGCATATTTTAGCTGACATCTTTGCTAAAGATAAAGATACACTGGATTTTATCAGGAAATTGTAAGTTTGATTTTTTTTTTTTTTTTTCTTATTTTCTAATTTTTCCTGATTGCTCTACTGAGCTTCATTCTCCTGGTGTGCACATATGTAATTGTGGTGGGTTGACCCTGGCTGGAGGCTGGGTGACCTCCAAAGCTGTTCTGTCAATGCTCCTCCCTAGCTGCTCCTTTCTCCTTAGGGAGAGGACTCCTTGTGCTCTTCCTGTTCTCCAGCTCAGGGTACCTCCTATGGGAAGTGGTCCTTCATGAACTCCTCCAACATGAGTCCTTCCCATGCACTGCAGTTCATTAACTGCTCCAGTGTGGTTAATTTGCACAGGCTGCAGTCCTTCAGGAACAGACTGCTTCATTGTGGGTCCCACATGGAGTCACAAGTCTTTGACAGCCTGCCTCACCATGGTCTTCACCATGGGCTGGAGGGGAATCTCTGTGCCAGCACCTGGAGCTCCTCCTCCCCCTCCTTCTTCACTGACTGTGGTGTCTGCAGAGTTGTTGCTCTTAGTCCTCTTTGCCTGCAGTTGCTGTTGTGCAGAAACTTTTTCCCCATCTTAAATATATTACCACAGAGATGCTAGCAGCGTGGTCTGTCTTGAAGCTGGCTGGCACTGGCTTTATTGGAGATGGGGGAAGCTTCTAGCAGCTTCTCACAGAAGCCATCCCTGTAGCCCCCCTGCTACCAAAATCTTGCCACACAAACCCAGTGCAGTGATTAATTTTTTTAATTATGTGAAAGCAGTGTTACTGTGAGATTGCATTAGGTCCATCCCTTCATTTGTGCAGGAGAGGTTCTTTAGCCTTTCTGTCTGTCTGGCTATCATTGGAGGAGAAATCTCCAGTGAGCATGGCGTGACACTTTCACTTCCAAAGACTGTTCATGCAGAGCATGTCTGCCTTGCAGTTTGTGATCTGTAGGGGAAAGTTTTCTCTCCTTGCACTTCCTTCTACCTGTGACTTTCCAGAGGTGTATCTTCAAATATTTGATATTTATTATTGCTCCAATATTTGCTGCTTGACACCTGTCAGTGTGATTAGCATGCAGTGATGGTTGATTTTGGCCTTGGAATTGAATCAGGCAGAGGAATGTGACTGTTCTTAAAGCAGGAGTTACTGATCCTTTGTGTTAGCTGACTAACTTTTCTTCCTTTTAATAATGACTTCAAAGTGATTTGTTGTGTCTAGGGAATTGATGTCACAGAGTAATAGGTGCTTGTTATTTATTTTTTCTTCTGCTGTGTACCATCTGGGTCAGAACAGGGTTATCAAAGAACAGATACCTTCTTTGGAGCATGTGGTGTTAGTTTGAATCTGCTCAGTTCTGTATATTTGACTCCTTTGCTGTTTGTTGTGAGTAATGGCCAAGTCCATTAAAAGGCTACAGCACAGCAATGTGAAAATTTCAAGGATGGGGGTGTTTTGTAAAGGAAGTGCTGTCACTACCAGAGTGTCACTTTCATTCTTGTGACAACTAGAAACCCCTTAATTGAATATGCTGTGCTCTAAAGATACAGCATGCTTTAGATCAACAGGATGTATATATAATAATAAGAATGAGGAATATTCAGGAAGCTGTCTGTTTGGGATCTCTGTTACTCCTAAATATAATGGAAAGTTCTAGGGTGTCAAGTGCTCAAAGCAAGAAATCAATTCTGAAGCTGAGTAGATTTAAGAAAGATTTTGCATTTACATAAAATAGATAACTGCCACAATTTTTTTTAAACTTCTCAAAATTTGTTGTGTGAAATTGAACTAATAACTGACCAAACTGAAATGCAGGTGGTGGCTTTTGAGTATCTATTCCCTTCAGGAGAAGGGCTGTGTTTAGCTTTTTCTGAGGTCTGCTTGAATATCTTCTCTTATTATGTTCCAGTCAGTATGTTATTTCAGTCTCAGCATTAAGAAATGTAATACGGTTCTGCAGGTAATCAGAGTTAATGTAACTTGTAATTGAACAGACCCCCAAGTTCTTTTATGTTTAATACAAGCACTAATGACTTGTTACATCCTTTCTGCTAAGATGCCTTATTAACATTTTTTTTTTTTCTTTATTCAGATGTCAGCAAAGGTACATTTGTATCCAGTCAGCCTTGGCAAAAGTGTCATCCAAAAGTGGAAATGAAAAAGATATTGATAAATTCCAACTGTACCATGAGTTTTCATGTAATATAAAGAACATTCAGCATCATCAGGTACACCTACAATTTTTTATATTTTTCTTAGGATTTTAATCATAGCAAAGGTGTCTTAGCTTTTGAATTTTCTTGCTTAAGACCGATTCTAGAAGTACTTGATTTTGCTTTTCAGTTATCAAAAGTAATAGACCTTTTCTTGAAACGCAAGAGTAAGCTGTTAATCTCTTAGAAACTGAACAGAGGATTGCTTATTCACTATGTCTGCTGTCTAATTAATTATCTTTAGACAAATACTTAAAATCAGAGATAGCAATGTTGGTGTGATTTTATTTTCAGCATGTGTCATGCCCTTCCTCCCTTCCTTGGGTGACAAGTGCATGGGAAGTGTTACCATGAAGGGGATAAAGGCTAAGTGATAGTATATGGTCTCCAGTCTAAAACTGGAGCATTGCATAGTAGAGGAAGCTGCTTGGCTGGAGTGCATTTGAAGCAAACTGGGATAAATTTATTACTTCTTTTGGATGTTTGCTGCAGCAATGAGTCAGAGTGCTCTGAGCCATTTGACAGAAAACTTGTTTTGTGAAACTGGTGCAAAGTATCAGAGAAGGATCCAGAAAATTGAAATTAAAGGTGACCTAAAAAAGCAGCTCCTGTCAGCAGCAACTTCAGGTAAAAGCTGAATAATCAAAATAGAAAGGCTCAGTGGAAGGCCTCATGCACTACCCCAAAAATGTATTGGTTTTGCAACTTATCAGTATTCCCTTCTGCAGAGTATCTTTGGTTATCGTAAGGTTAGAAAAAGAGTAGAGGGACGTGAGTAGAAAAAGAAATGAGGGACAAAGCAAACTTACTTGATGATGAGAAGCTGATGATGAGGGGCTGGGCTGCCCCTCTTCAAAGGCTGAAATGTTGTGCACTCAATGCAACTTTCAAGACCTTTGCCCTTATTCATTACTAATCACCAAGTGAATTGTCTCTTGTTTTGGTCACAATTACCTAGCTTTCAAAACAAAACCCAAAAGACATTCTGTTTGGACCACCTTTCCAACCAGAAATGTCCCTTTCCTTAATTATTTTAGAGCAGAACGCTTTTCCTTTTATGTCTGTGATATGCTATCCGTTTCTCTCTGCTTCCTACTTTAAATCAGTGTGAGGATTTGAATTAATAAATGCTTCTGTTGTATGTGCTGAAATTAGTTTATTACAAAAAAATTTCACTATGTGTATGGGCTAATTTTAAACCATGCCCCCCTACATCCCGATATGGATGGTGTTAAGTGAAAGACAAAATGCTGTAAGTGATTTTAGTAGACAGGCCTTCTGTAGATGTTTAAAGAGGTACTTGTAATTGTTCTCTTTGTACTAAATATGAACATTTACTGTATTTGTATCAGTAATTATTTGGTGAAAACTTGCCCCTAGAGAATCTGGAAAAGTCAATAGGGCAATCTATGACTACTGTGGTGACATATCACAAAGATTTGTAGATTCTTCAGAAGATTAAGTGTTGTGTTCTATGGATTGTTTTGTTTGGGTTCTTTACTGTTGAAAGAATACTTTGGCTGTCAAAGACTCAGTTTTTCCTGAACTGAGTGTGGTGAATACTGAGGATATGCATTGAGATATGTATTGGGTGTAGAAGTGTTTTCTGGGCTGATGGTATCATTTACCACTCGTTCGAGACATCTCTCTTTTTTTTCTTCATGTTTTACATAAGGAAATCTTTTTGCTTGGATAAAGCCGGGGTTAGAAACCTGATTTCCCAAACATGGTCAGCGTTCTGTGCATGTGGCTGCACTGTTTATTATCCAGAATGTGTATTCAGTCTGCCTGTTTGATGTTAAGAATAACTTGATCTGTTTTGGTTTATTTCTCCTAGTGTCTGTCAGTAACCTTAATGCCTCTATTTTCCCACTTTGGTTCCCCTGTGAAGTAATAACTACTCTTGTTGCAGCTGGTAGTGTTATAATCACAGGGTGTTTTTTGCGTTCTTATGTATTGTCTTTCATCTGTGCATTAGTGCTGTTTCTTATCCTAACTCATTGAACATTTCTTTATGAATTTTAAAAATCTGAGCTGTTTGTGCTTCACTGAGGATTCAGGCCACAAAGAATGTCAGGGCTCTTTTGTACTAGTCAAGGAAAAAAAAAACGCACTTTATGATCACCTCCAATATGTGGTTTGCAGAGTTCCATTTTTTGTAAAAATATTGTAGCTTCTCATTTCTGTTGAATTTTGGTTCTTTGCTAGTTTTCCACTTCCTTTATTTGTCTTGCTTCTGTGTTTTGATGATGAAATATGGAAAGAGTTTTCTTTACCTGCCATGTCTTCCTTAAGGTTAAAGCCTAGATTTGTACTTTGGAAAGTCTTTTCTCATAACCTCCAATTTCTATATTAACCAAGCTTACTACCCTGCTGATGCAAATTACCTTTTCTTTCCCCTCTTACTTTCTTGGGTTGCAACTATCCCTTCTAATAACTAGAACTTTCTTAAGTTTCTTCTTTGGCTAAGACTCTGAAGAAATACTTTTCTGCATTCAAAACACTGGTTAAAAATGTGTCCTTGGATGTACTTTGGGAGACGTGTACGTTGTCTGCAAGAGACAATTTTTTTTTTTTTTTTTTTTAAAAGTGGCTGACCTATTTTTAAGATTTACGAATTCCTGAGGACAGCAGGTTAAATAGCTGTGTTTGAAGAATTGCAAAATTCACTGTTAATGAAAACCACCTCTATTCCTTTGTCAGCTGTGCACAGACAGATTTCTCAATGCTTTCAGCTAGAGGCAAAAGTAGAAGTCAGCTTTAAATCACCTCTTTGCAGAGTAGCGAATAAAGGATTCTATACAATATTGCACTGAAACTGGTCAATACCCTAGTATGGAAGTGCTATTAATCTTAAAGGTCTGTGTACAACCCTAGTCTAGCTTGCAAGTAAAGGGGATGGGCAATAGGCTATAATGTTACCTGTAAGAGAATAAGCAGTGTCTTAATGACCAAAGCATTGATAGCCATGAGGGTGGCTTGCAGTGTGTGTCACAAAGAGGTGAACTGATGTGCAGCAAGCTGCACCTTGGTTCTGCAGTTCTGCACCTGTCATTGCCCATGCTGTAGTTTTAGATTACTTTCTGTGTGTGCTATTGTCGTCTCATGTCTTAAGACATGTCGTAAAATCAGGACTGGTGTGTGATGGAGTCAGCTTGTTGGACTGAAAAAGTTAAAGTACTGAATCCAAAATGCGAAAAAAACCCAACCAACTTAATTTGTTTAAAAAGCCTGACTCCAAATTTTGACATGAGATACCTGTGGGCGTGTCCAGCTGGAACATTTCACTTTCGGGAGGTTCAGCCACAGTTCCTTCCTTTGGCAGCAAGGAGAACCTGACTGGACTCTTAGGATGTAGTTGGGTAGCTATACCAACGGTGTCATAACTAAGGAAAAAAGTCTTTCAAGAGTTTATTTGAATTTTTGACTAATTGTAAACAGTTCAGTGTTTGTGTATGTCTTGGGGTTGCTTTCCTGTATTTGGAGATTACTGAATTGGTGGGAGGAATTCATGAATAAAGTGTAATGTTTGAGGCAAGTGCTGTATTTTCAATTTTATACTTAAAAAGGAAATGGAAATTAAAGTCCTTGGCAAAATATACAAACCTTATTCAGTGAGTCTAAGTAAATCTGGAACACAGAGGAGAGCAATGTGAAGGATGTATTTTTATGATAACCAGCATGAGGGTTGATAAAACTTGTGAATACATAAAATTATTACTCTTGCTTTCTCTTAAAAATGTATATGGTTTTTATTAACCCTTCACTTGGGTCTGTTCTAGTCCTGCATGAGAACAGTCTTTCTTGAGAACTGAAAATTTACTTTGTGTCTAGAATAGCTGTATTTGAACCTTCTACTTAAAAAAAAAAGTCAAAACACACCCACGTTTATCATCTTAGGTGGAGAAATTCAGTAATTACTTTCTTAATTGAGCATTTTCTGGATGATAATTCTTCTCTTAATGCATGTCACTTAGAACAAGATAGACAGATTGTTTAAGGATAAAAATGTAAAAAATACTAGTGACTGAAATACAGCTGGTTTAAGTTCAGGTGACTGACACATTCTGCAGATGGAGTGCCAGGAAACAAAATGTGATGCAAATATTGACCCTTCTAACAGTATGCTGAATTATGACATTTTATGTTTATTAGATACATTTTCTGTCATGAGCATAATTTTTGTTTCCATTTTAGCTTGACATTTAACTTTCTCTCTTTAGGAAAAAAAAAATCGGAATAAACATGAAAGCATTTGATTTATTAAAATGTGTCTTTCTAATCTCTACATGAAAACATTTGCTTTGGCAGTAAAGGTACCAGATGCTATAATATTTCACATGCAATCTTTATTATTAGCTTTGTTGTTCAATGATATGTCAGGCCTGGTATGTCACAGGAGCAGTAAGGCTGACAAATATAAATTGGTACTATGTCCTGAAGTCATTTTAAACCATTGTATTTAACATATGTGACATGTCTGAGTTAGCTAGTGATTGAATTAAAATTCGTGATTGGCACAAAATGCTCTGTTTTGACAGTGCTTAGGGCCTGCTACATACAGCAACATACGTAGTCATATAGGAATGTCAACTTCTAGCAGGTTTTTTATTATTTTTGCACTTTGAAGTATTTTGGAGGGGAAAATGAAATCTGAAAATGTATGATTTTTATCTGGAGCTGCTTCTGACTGTTAGTCTGTTTCTCGAATCTCTTGACCAGTGAGTTATCTTAATATATACTACAAGGATTTCTTCAGGTGAACACTCATCAGCTTTATAGTGAGGCTAGATTAGCAGGTACCCCCAGTGTCCTCCAGGATTCACCACTTGTATTGTGATCCTAGTTTTGAAATTAGAGCCAATAGAACTTTGTGTGCAGATAGCATGCATGCAACCATATTTAGCTTTATATCTTTATTATGCAGTTGTGTATGCAAGAGTCTGCCAGAAAAGTGTGCATATACTTTAAGGCTGAAGTGCTAATACTAACATGAAGAATGTATCTACAAAATTTTCAGCTGTTTATGAACTTGGTGTGAATAAATAAAAAATTGATCTTCTTTCAAGTTAAGCTAATTTCCTTTGTGTCATAAGTTCTGATTCTGAAGCAAAATGAAGTCGGAAGCTCAGAACTAACTTATGGTATCTAGTTCTTATTGGAATCACAATTCAGTTAATTTCTTGATTTTTAATTTGGATTATTAAACAAGATTATTCCACCAACTAAATTCATGCTGAGTTGTATTATAGTGTGTTTAAGATAAATTGGATCTTGAGCTTGCAGACTCCAGGAAAAATGTATGATTTGTTATGCCACAGCATGATTTAATCTGTGTTTAAATTGTGGATGTTATCTGTACGTACTAGTATTTTGTGCACTGATTTACTGTACCACCATCATGATTTGCCACAGAATGTCAAGCAAGTGCGTACACAAATGTTGATAAGTTTATCTTTTGGATATTTTGTGTGTCATCTGTCTCTGCCATTTATGTTTGCATTCAGATTCTGGCCATTAACCGAGGGGAAAATCTGAAGATCCTGACAGTGAAGGTCAACATTCCTGACGGGGTGAAGAATGAATTCTGTTGGTGGTGTGTCAATGAAAGGTCTGCATGGATACATATTCTTACAGAAATCTTTTTTTTCCTGTAGGCAGCTGCATATCGAAATGTACTTCACATGTCTCTTACATTAAGAGAACAATTTAAATGAGTATTTATTAGATTAGGTGAAATTAGCAAGTGGGTAATTCTTATTCTGTATTTCCAACTGCTGAAGTATTATGCTGAAAAGATCATGCCTTTAGCCATACTCTGGGAGATCTGGAGCCATTCTTTAAGCAAGTTAATTTTTTTTTTAAATGTTGGGTAATTCTATTTCTTCCCTATTTGCTCTTCCAAGGTGCCTCTTTTTTGTTTCTAAAGCCTGTAGTGAGATGTTTAGTGTTGCATAATTTTGAGAGTTTTTTACAAAAGTTAAGTTAAAAACATGTTTTGTGCAATACCTCTATCAGTCTTTTTTTCTTGGAAACTGCACCTTGATGTCCACTGTTGGAGAATATCGTGATCCAAACTGTCCATCCTCCTTGCATGTATAAAATACAGGTTTCTCTTTCTCAGTGGTTTGACATATTGAACATTGTTCTGAGGGTGCTGTAGAAGCTCTTACCTTTGCATCCTAAAATTAAATAACCAAAAGGAGGAAAAAAAGATAGAAAATACACACTTTATTAGTGTATAAAATTGTTTACTGTGATACTGCTTTACCATTTATTTTTCTCCCACACCAAATCCAAGAAAGGGATGTGATAAAAATGTTCATTTTTACTGTAGAAATTTGATAGTTTTGTTTCCAGCATTGAAGCCTGTGAAGGAGTTAAAATATTGTTTAGCCAGATAACACAATATGATCTAGGACCAATAGTAAGTCACTTTTTTCAGTAAAGTGTCAGGATTCATAAACACACCTAAGTTTCATAATAGTTTTAATACCTGTAAGGGGATTTCTGTCCTCCCCCAAGATGTGTATTCTGTAGGCAGAACATGTGTCAGTCTTGCTTTAACTGCATCTGTGACACAATTTGGAAGCACTGTGAGCCACAGACAATGGAACAGCTTGTCACTGCTGCACAAATGAAAGTGGGATGTAAATTGAGATATTTTTGGTTGATTACACTTTTGTGAGTCATCCTGAGATAAAAAGAATATTGACCTTGGAAACTGAACTACTTAATAATACTTAGCATTCCTGAGGCTATATATGCTTATAGCTTCTCACTATTTAAGGACAACTTCTCTATCAACAGAAAACTTTGGAAAAAATTATTTTAGTAGATCTTAGTGCATTAACATCTAGGATAGATTCTCATCTTCCTCAATAGTTTGACAGCTGTTTTATCAAATTGACAGATATTTTGCCTTGCAAGCTTGGAAATGCATGTCCAAGGGTGGGAGTTCCATTCTTTTCTTTGTATTGATTTACTGGTGAGAGCAGAGTGTTAAGAACTTGTGTTTAAGGCAAGGATTTAAAAAGTTTTCAAAGGTATTAACTAATCTGCTGAAGGTCACACTTAAAATCAGTTGCAGAACCAGAAATGCCACCGTGCTATGGAGTTTGGTCAATAGTCTAGCCACAACACAGTAGGGATCACCTACTGCATATTGATTTATTAGCAAATATGCTGACCTTTGTGTTCTTCTGAGGTTAATTTTTTAGCATTAAATGTGCCTGTGATGGAAAGTGGCTTTGGAAGTCTGCATTTCTTCATTATTGCATTGAGCTCGATGTAGATGCTTTCTAAGATGACTGTATTTTCTTTGCAAGTTCAGAATATTCTTTAGCCTGTAGAAGCATCTATATTGCCTTGGAATTCAGGTTGCTAGTTTGAAAAAGAGTTGTTTCTCACCACCCTCTGTAACCTGTTGGCCAGTTCCCCACCCACTGCACAGAGCACTTATGTAGACCATAACACATCAGTTTATCTAGAAGGCTGTAGGGAACTGTGCTGAAAGCCTTGGAGAAATCTGGGTAGACAGTGTCCACTCCACATCAACCAAGCAGGCTACTTTATCATAGAAGGTGTTCAGGTTTGTCAAACGTGATTTGTCCTGAGTGAATACATGCTGACTTTTTCCAGTCATGAGCTTAATTTGACTTGTGATAGCCCTCAAGAGGATTCATTCTGTGTCTTTACCAGGGATTGAAGTAGAACACAGAATCATAGAATCATTAATGTTGGAAGGGACCTCAGAGATCATCAAGTTCCAACTCCCCCTGCCATGAGCAGGGACCCCTACCACTAGGCCGGGTTGCACAAAACCTCATCCAACCTGGTTTTAAAAACCTCCAGGGACAGGGCATCAACAATCTCCATGGGCAACCCATTCCAGTTCCTCACCACCCTTATAGTGAAGAATTTCTTCCTAATATCTAACCTAGATCTCCCCTCCCACAGTTGAAAACCATTATCCCTTGCCCTATCACTATCTTCTCTGATGAAGGTAAGACTGATGGGCCTGTAATTTCTTGGGTCCTCCTTTAAGGCCTTTTTGTAGGGGCAACATCAGCCTTCTTCCAGTCTTCTGGGATGTCCCCCAGTTTCCACAGCTTCTCTAAGATTATGGAGAACAGCCTTGTGACAGCATCAGCCAACTCTCCTAACAGTCTTGGATATTTTCAGGGCCCTCTAACAGTTCATATCATCTTCCTTTACTGACAATGGGTCTATGTTTGCATCAACCTGGATTTTTATTTCCAAGGCCTGGGGCCCAATAGTGCTGGTAAAGACAGAGGTGAAGAAAGTATTTAGAATCTCTGCCTTTTCTGTGTTGTTGATAACTAATTCCTTCCTCCTGTTTATCAATGGGCAAATATTTCCCTTCTGTTCCTGCTTGATGTTTTGTACCTGAAGAACTTTTTCTTGTTGTTTTTGACATCTCTGGCCAATTTCAATTTGAGCTGAGCTTTTGCTTTTCTAACCGCTTCTCTGCACACCCTGACAATGCCTTTGCAGTTCTCAATGCGTATTCAGCCACTTTTCCATGTATGGTGCACTTCTCTTTTGATTTTGAGCAGACTTGGAAGCTCACAGTTAAGCCAAGGAGATCTGTTGTTCCACTCAGTCTTGTCCAGAGGAGGGCTGGGAAGATGATCAGAGAGGGCTGGAGCACCTCTTCTACAAAGACAGGCTGAGAAAGTTGAGGTTGTTCAGCCTGGAGAGGAGAAGGCTCTAGGGACACCTTATAGCAGCCTTACACTACCTGAAAGGGGCTTGCAAGAAAGATGAGGAGGGACTTTTTACAAGGTTTGTAGCAACAGGACAAGGGGTAATGGCTTTGAACTAGAAGAAGGTAGATTTATGCTAGACGTTAGGAGGAAATTCTTTAGTGTGAAGGTGGTGAGACACTGGAACAGGTTGCTCATGCAAGTTGTGGATGCTCCATCCCTGGAAGTGTTCAATGCCATGTTGCATGGGGCTTTGAGCAACCTGGTCTGGTGGAAGGTGTCCCTGCCCATGGCAGGGGGAGTTGGAACTAGATGATCTTTCAGGTCCCTTCCAACCCAAACCTATGGTTACTTCCCCTGCCTTTAAAGGTGTTAGAGGGAGTGAACTGTTTTTGTGCTTCTAGGAGGGCTTTCTTGAAAAACTCACAGCACTTGTTAGTTCTTTTGTCGTCCGTTGAAGCTTCCAACAGAATTCCTCCCAGATGAGCAAGCTGGTTTGCTGTTTGACGAATGTGTGGTGTTTGACCATTTTTTCAGTTTCCAGACAAAAATCTCAGATCCTGTGTAAAGTCTGTGGTATAGGCCATAAAGGCATGCTGTGTATGCACTTACCAACTTGGTTTCGTAGTCAAGTTTTATATCATGTCTTGAAGGAAAACAAAGCTCTGCTTTTGGTGCGTCAGGTCTAAAAACCTAGCTGTGCACTTCCTGGAATAGTCAATTAATACCAGTGATTCTTAATTTGGATGTTAATTCTATTGATGTATAGTTTCACCCTCTGAGGTCTATCTGTAGTCTAAGTCACTTGCAGTCATCACTGTTGTGGGTATATGAACATGGAGAGCTGATGAGCAGAGTAAGATGATATTATTTATATGGAGTTTTTCTAAATACGGCTTAATTTTAAGGACTTCCAAAGTCATCTATTGATTATTTATTCTAAACAAATCTGTTCTTAGAAAGGAACTTAACTAGGCTTCATTGATCTTCAAAATTATATACACATGCCTTTGCTTTGTTTCTGCAGTGAAGTGGAATTTTCTCTTTCCTTATGAAGTAGTGGAATTATTAAAATGCAGTATTTGCTTTGATTGAACTTACCATTTGGATATTTTTGCATTTGTAGCAATTCTAGGGTTTCTAATAGAGTGTTGCTTAAATAATTTTTACTTGTATATAGGCAGGTAATAAAAATGTCTGCTGTGATAAACTATTTACAAAGAAAAATTTGCTAGTTAGTTTTAATGGATGGAAGAGAGGGGAAAACAGCTGCCAGATTTCCAAATTAATTCTTATTTGTGCTGAGGATACTTTCTGGGGGAGTGTAGTTGTATACGCCACCTGTAAAAACTTCTTGTTTATAGAATTTGATGGCAATAAGGAGGTTTAAAGCCTCTGCCAGTTTTATATAGGTATGGAAAGAGTCTCTAGTTACAAATAAGTATAATAGAACTATTTGCAAAAACTGTTAGCAAAGTGATGAGGTCATGTGGTTAAGCACTCACAACTCTGGATGTTGTAAAACTTAATTCTGCTCCCATGTCTGTCTGCATTAACACAGTGTTGACTTGATCACACATTTCTCAACTATTATATATGCAGACACTTAAAAAAGCTGTTTCAGGAAACAACAGGTCCCCTTCAACAACCAAAAAGCTGTCTGGGTAGGAGCAATTTAAGATTCTCAATATTTCTGAGTAAGTACAAATTTAAAAAGTCAGAAGTAAAACTCAGTCGTTATTTTGGCTTGGCCTGGACCTGGACACATTATAGAATGGCCATAATTCTATGATGTTGCAATTTAAAAAAAAAGCAAAAAACTTTCATAAGATACCCAGATGTACTAAACAACGTGTGTGTCTCACTCTGTAGTTAGGGACCCGGGCACGTAAAAAAATATGCTAACTGAAGAAAACTGACAAAACTATTTTAACAATAAGTAAAAAGCAGATGGACTCTAAAATAAAACATTCATAGTTTAATTTCATAAAACTCTGTACAAGTTTAATTTATGTGGCTGCATGTCCTCAGGCTTTCTCTGTTCTTTTACTCGCTGAGTAAGTCATGCTTGTTCAAGGGACTTTCCCCCCGTCCCATCCCCACATAGTAATGTTACCCAAACCAAAAAGGTCAATGGAATTAATATCTGAGATTTCTGTTCTGGGGAGCTTTGAAACTGCTGTGTATTTTAGGACAAAATTTGAAGTTATTGTTTTTAGGTTATGATCACTGTGCACAGGCTTCTTAGGAAAGGGGATGCTCTGCAGAGTTCAGCGTAGAAATATTGGGAAATAGTCTTGCATTTGTTTGGTTTTGTTTATTTTGTTTTCCCTTTTGCAAAATACTATTTACATTTTAAATATATCAACGACAGGCAAACAAAAATCATTGGCAAATTGTTTGGATTTTGCTGTTTTGTGAGGGTTTGTTGTTTTTATTTGTGTTGTTTTGGTTTTTTTAGTGGACTGTTACAAAATTAATAGATTTCATTTGAGTTTGAACAGGTACCAACAGCATTCCAAATTAAATTGGAGTTGAATTTCATTCATTTATATTCGTTTAGCTCTTGAATTTCTGTCTGGGCACAGTAGTCATACATGACTAGCTCTGCAGTGACGCTTGCAGAGGATGTTTAATAATTTTTTGTAATGTATTGAGGAGTAGCAAATAATGAAATCCTAATGATAACATGGAACCAAGTTCTTCAGTTGTAGTAAGGTTTGGCTTCTTGAAGTGAAAAGTAACTTTTTTTTTTAATGTTCTCTTTAAAATATAAAATATGATTACATTCTAGTACCTAAAAAAAAGAAAAAAGACGGGCCTTGTCTGCTAGTAGAACCATAAGCAACTTCTCATTCCATTAATATTTGAAGCTATGATTTCATTCCCTAGTTATTGTAGTAATTCTGCAGTATATAGGACATTGCATTCAATGTAGAAGTCTTTTTTTTTTTTTTTTAAGTTATCTTTTTATCTGAGTTGTTGCATATGTTCCTAAAACCTTTTTTGTTCTTCTTTTATTGTTTTGCAGATGGAGACCAAAACAATTTTTAAAACCAGAATTGATGAGGATACTACGGAATTCAGTTGAGGATGCATATAAGCGCCTTATATATCCTCTCCTCTGTAGAGAATTCAGGTAATCCTAGAAGGAGTATGTATTTTCATACTACCAACAGTTCTCTCCCCAAGATTTTATTAGAATATCTTTCATTTATTTGAGTTTGTGGTTTGGTTTTCTAAGTGAGAAAACAGACATAAAGGTTCTTCAAGGCTTTTTTTGTGGTTCATGATTCCTGCCACAGGACTGTTGTGGCCTGTGTGTTGGGATATAGCACTGAGGTCTTCTTCAGCCATAGGTTGGTCAGTGTTTTTTCTTCTCTTAAAAAAAAAAAAGCTTCCTTCCCCTGTATTTCATAGATGTAGCTCACCAGTCTTAAGTGCAAAGAACACAAAGCTTACTACCTGTTCCTCAGTGATATCTAATAATGTTTTACTCTTTATGATATATCACATGATCAGTGGTATCTCATTAGGAAAAGCTGAAACATCTTCTGCAGAAAGGAATGCAAAGCACCTGCCAGTAGTATTCCTGATCTGTGACCACTTAACTCTTATCCTTCTTTTATTCTCTTTCCACTGACATCAGAAGCTGATTTTTAGGACTCTTGCAAAGGACTGCTAAAGTATTCAATACCTCCTTTTAGCATTAATATTTCCAAGCCACCCCCCGCTGTTCTCTTTTTTATTATCATTAAATGTTGGAACAGAAAGTTTCCAAGAGCTTATTGAAATTTCTGGTGCTTATAGTGATCAGAAAAATAAAACTTGTCAGCAGGATGGATACCTTATTTATTGTTTAATTTCCTTTCTTCCACTGTCAGATACCATAATTTTGTGTATCTGGTATAATAATGTCCAGTGTTGATTTTGGCTCTTTGAAATCCATTTTATTTTGTTGCAATACTGCATGGAATGATTCCATCAGGATTTGATACAAGTGATGTGGCATAGACATATTTCTTAATGGATAATCCTTTCCTAATTTTCCATGCTTTTTTTAAGTGAGTGCTTTCTCTACTCTGTCTTCAGGGACACAAACATTTCTCTGTATATCTTGTTTCGCACCTGAAGCTAGTTTGCAGATATTTTTCCATGGAAAGGATTGCTTCTCAGACTGTACATGGAAATGAGGAGTTTTAAATCTCAATTTAAAAACTGACTCTTATTAAATATAGAAGCTACTAGTTCATTATTAGGTTCTTTGCTTTTATTACAATATACCTGTTAGTGACATACAGTCTGAGTGCTTCAATAGAATTCAAGGGAGGGGCTTGAAATTCTGACTTGGTTGATAATTTTTCATAAAGTAGCAAGTGAAGGGGTTTATTGTGTTGCTTTTTTAAATTTTGTTTTGTTTGTTGTTTTTTTTTACAAAATAAAGTAACTCCTCTGGTCTTTAGAACAGAGAACTGCTATCCTACTCTGTTTTGTGTCTCTGCCATGTTAATGAGAATTGTCACAAATTGGAAAAACATGAAGCAGGGCATCTTGCCATTTGGATTAAGCCAGTGGTGCACTGAAAGAGAGAAAGATGTTAGATTGTTTGAGGTAGTTTGCTATTTGCTTAAGGATCAAATTACTATCCCAGATTTGAAATTAAGGGCCAGTACTTGGGACAGTAGATCATGTCATTGATACAAGCGTTGAGTGAGAGGCAGTCTATATTTGAAATTTTAAAATACAGGATATTAGGTAATAGAAAGGACATAACATTATGTTTCCCCTACGTACCTGGCACTTTCAGTAACATTTCCTGTTACTATAAAAATTTCTGTATCTCCATGCCAATTTTAAACATGATTTCCATAAGGTGAATGTAACTAATAGCATGTGTTTAGGGGCAATTTTAATTCCTGCACAAGTCTCCCTTCACAGGTGGACTGATGTGAATTTGCAGTGTGGGAGGACTTGGCCTTGTGGGGAATAGGGACCCCATATCTCTGGGATAGATGAAAAACTGGAACTTGGCTTGTTTCTATACAGAGCCTCCAGCCTAAGAGCATTCAACCTTCCCTTGTAAACAAGTAACTTTTAGACTTAATTTCTATGCACATATGACTGGTTGAATCTCTGTTCTGTATATGTAGAAGATCCATATACCTGTGGGGCTTAGGTATGTACTTTGTTTTCTCTGGCCTCTCACAAATGGTATCACATTGTTCTTCCCCTGGAGTCTCTTGGAAGAAGCTTTTTCAGTGGTTTAAGTTATTTTTGTTACATTTTTTTAAGAATAGGAGAAGGATCTTGCAAGACTGAATGATCAAGGAATGAAACTGCAACTGTTCAGTGGAGGTGATGTAAGATGATGTTTGCAAGGGGAAGTAATTCTCTCTTAGGAGCTCTTGAGCTGTTCAGGAAAGATGCTTTGGCACTGTGAAAAGGTATCTCCACATAAATACTAAGTGCTCAGAAGATAAGATTATTTAGTTCAGGAATAAAGACAAGAGTAAGTAATTGATTTAGTTGGCCTGTGTTTGGGATAATATTGGTCATTTTGGTCCCCTCACCTCGAGGGGGAGATGTAGCAAAAAGATTCATTAGAACTGGGAAAGGCCCAGTGAAGGGAAACAAGGTTTGAAATAATTTCTGTGTAAAGGAGAATTGACCAGGCTATGACTCTTCAGCTTGGAAAAGAGAGGACACAAAGATGGATGGTGCGTGAAGAGTGGCACAGGGCTTCTAGGGATAATTTTTTACTCTTTTCCAGTATAAGACCTAGAGGACCATAAAAATTAGTCATCTTCCAACTAACAGGTGTCAGCTGTTTGCACAGTTATTAGTGGACCTGCAGAACTTGCTGCCAGTTGACTATGTGAAAATAAGAAGTGTGCATGACTTCAGTAGGAGACTGGATAGCTGGACAAGAGTTCTGTTATGGGCTACTAAAGACACAAATCGTGTCAAGCTCAGGAAATACTGGGAGCTGGAAGTAGCTGGAACCTAGAATGAGAGTATGAGACAGGTAACCTAGTCCTTCTGTAGCAGCTCCCTAGGCAACTGCTTATGGCCACACTTGAAGACAGGGTACCACGATAGAGGGACCACTTACCTGAACTAGTGCAGCCATTCCCATGTACTTTTTTTAAGAGATGGCAATGTACAGAGTGTGTGCTCTTTGGTGATGAGGACATATTTGAGTTGTTAAGGAGTCCAGGAATACATTTAATACCCTTCACAATCTTACTTTATATCATGTCTATATTAATTTGGTATACTTGATACAGAAACAAAAAGCACGGGGATATTGCTGTTGCACACTTTGTTAGAAAATGTTCTATCAGTACTGTGTGAAAGAGAATCTAGATCTCTCTCTAGATCACTTCACAAATGAGAGGTGATGAGAACTTACCAGCTCTTTCTGGACTGTTGTGGGATGAGACAGGGCTGAGGTGCTTGTTTGGATGGATCCTGGGCAGACTCAAGTGAGACTCTTAAATGTCTGTCACAGCTTTCACAGTCAGAACAGCTACTTAGCTTGTCATGTCAGACAGCCCTTATGAGGGTTGTGTTCGAACTGTTTGTAGCCTGATTGTGTCATGCACTGATTGATCTAAACTTGAGTAATTTCCCCCACCCTATTCTTATAGGGTTAGTTGACTAGAAGGCAGGTTTTTTTCTTACATAAAATTAAACACAAATATTACTTTTTTTTCACTGATGGGTAAAAGGAGAATAAGAGCACTGGCTACCATTTAAATTATATGAAGACTTTACTGGATTTCTATTGCTTTCCTAATTATTCTAGTTATTGATAGTGCAGCTGAAAATGGTAGTGGGTATCTGCAATAGACAAAGAAACAGCTGGGTGATGAATATTTGTGTCCCCATTACTTTTTCAATTTTGCTTTTTCATGTAAGATGCCATACCATGACAAACATACTTGTCCTTATCAGTCATTGTCTTACTGGTCACATCTGACAAATAAGACATTATGCATCTTGTACACCTTCACTCAACAAGACTGATTTGTTTCTTGTAACACTCTGCAGTGAGTGTTCTTGCTTGAAGTCATCAAAGTCAGTCCTTGGTGCACTAGCTCACACCTTTCTGTTGAAGATACCGAAAAGAAAGATAGGGAACCTCATGAGTCCATCAGTTTTGTTTGGTTCTGAGGAAGTGGAATACCCTCCTAGAAAGATCTCAAGTCTACACATTTCTGTGATGACTGTTAAATAACATAATTCACGGATTAATTGAAATGCCTCATGAGTCAAGGTGTGCTAGTAATTAATTGAACAGGCCCTTCCACTTTCTCTCTATTACCTCTCAGCCTAAATGATCACCCTTTTTTCACCAGAACTGGGAAGTTATGATGAAGACAACCCATGTTTTCTTCAAATCCTTTTTTTTTTTTTTTCCAGTTAGGTATTGGCTTCAATGAAAAGCTGTTATTTGCTCAAAAGTACTTGTTGATGTTTGAATGTTAGTTGCTATATGTACATTCTTATAGGTGTTTCTATTATACTCTTTATTTACATTCTTAGAACCAGAATGAGGAGATCATAGCTGAGCCTTTTTTTTAAAACAACACAGAGTGTTGTATTTAATTAAAGATAATGAAAACCTGAGATTGGGAAAAGCCTTACAACTTTGGACCAATTCAAAAGTGCATTTGAAAGCTAATTGGGGGGAAAATCTTATTTTGCTTTCATCCTTCTAAGATCGAAGTTGACATCTGATGCGGAGAAAGAGTCTGTGATGATGTTTGGGAGGAATCTCCGGCAGTTGCTTCTGACCAGCCCTGTGAGGGGCCGTACTTTAATGGGTGTAGATCCTGGCTACAAACATGGCTGCAAGTTGGCCATTATTTCACCAACCAGTAAGTTGCAATTAAAAATATCTTTGAAAGGACTGATAAAAATATATTCATTTAGAGGGAACAATAGTTTCAAAACCTACTTTCTTAATCAGATGGCTTTTTTTCCTTAAGCTTTTAGTGTTTTCCATGCATCCCGTCATGCAAATTCCTTCCTTCAGGTTTAAGGTTAAGTTTTTGGCACCTGGATTCAAGTGTCTCCTTTGGTGCTATATTATTCCTCTCTGAAATTCTATTTAAAATCCCTTCTGCCTTCTTGAATGCAGGTTCAAGTAATTGTGCTTCTCAGTAACCAGCAAAGAGAACACCTGGCATTTTTATTGTTTAACACAGAATTCAAATTTATACACTTTCTATAACTTTGGGTTTTTTTCATGGGCAATATCTTGGACATCTGGACACTTGATCAGCCCTTTTTGTTTAGTAGTATTTGTGTTAATGTGAGAAATCAGAAACATTGTATTAGCAAAAGTTTTTAGTTCAGTTTTTAGGTAGATACAGAACAGAGCCTTTCCAATTCATGCTAGTCTGATGCTGGGCATACATAACTCTTTAGGCTCATGTGAAAATGGTTTGTTTTTCCTTTATTTTGTTGTTGCTTTTTGTCTGAGAATATATCCACCTGAGGAGGTGTAAGGAAAGATGTGTTCTTGATGTATTAAAATGGCAGTAAAGGTAAGGTAAATGGTTATTACCTTGCATTGTACCATAAGCTATCAATACCAATTAATACAGAGTTACTTCCAAACATGATAGATGGGATGATGGTAAAAGCTGGCATTGGAGTTCTAGAGCTCCTGAGCTGCAGTTCCTGAGACTGCCTTCCTAATTTCTCTCTTAACTGGATCTATAAATATACTAGACTAGAGCAATAAATCTTTTTTGGTTACTTGCTGGTTTTCTCTTTGATAGTATAGTACACTGTATTTGCCTAATATTACTAGATGGTCTTTATTTGTTACGTGGATGTGTCCTCAGGGAACTATTAAATGTATCAACCCCTTTTGCTTTGTCAGACAAAACATTTTGGGAGAACTTCGTAAAGTAGGGATGATGGTTGAACTCGATCCCAAGGGTCTTTTCCAACTTGAGTCATTCTGTGATTCTATGATTTTAGTCCTCTGCCCACTGTGTGTTTCTTTCAATTGGATACGGAAATAAAAGGGAAAGATGGCTTATTGAGAAGCTTTCTTTGTGAACCTTCAGATTAATTTTAATAGTTCCACAGGATACAGCTTCTGGATCTTTGTGGGTTTTTTAATCAGATGGCTTTGCCTTTCATTATTCTAGGTCAGATACTCCATACTGATGTCGTTTACTTGCATTCTGGTCAAGGCTTTCGTGAAGCTGAGAAGATAAAGAGGCTGCTGCTACAGCACAAGTATGCTAAAGAAACCTCCACTTTGCTATGAATGTATCCCTGTAATGCTTTTTCAATCCATTTAGTTTTAGGAATAGAAATTATCATTTAGCTAAGGAATAGTGTCGTCTCAGTCTTCCTACTCTCCCACGACCCCCAAACTGCTCATCTATCTTCCCCTCTTCCAAGACCCCCGTTGTAGTCTTTGGAAGACTTTTATTAAGCAAAGGAAATCCCGCTCAGATAGCTCTCCAGATGGACATGAAAATAGGGGCAGCATAATTAAAGGGTTATTGATTCCAACTGTATTGGGATCCCCTGTGGACAGACATCTGGTCCACTAAGTCAGCTGCTGAACTGCCACAGTTTGTCTTTAAGCATTAGATTGGCTTTAAACAAGGTGATTTGATGGCTGACTGGCTGTGGTTGGGGGTAGTCGGAGGTAATGACCTTGCAAGCTGTTGCAAACTATGATGTTCCCATTAAGGAATTATGATTCTGATTGCTTGGGCTTCTGCCCTTTTTCATGATTTATAACAGATGAGGGGAAAATGAGGTTAAAGAATTTGAGGACTGTAAATAAGTTTAAATTTCTTTTAGCAATATTAAACGTAATTTTTGTTTTTCTGCAGATACTACCACTGTTCGGTTCAATTACAAATGAGTTAAAATGTTGACTCATCTCTTGAACCTATTAAATACATTCCCATTAACTCCAGGCATTGTGTGATATAAAATAAGATGTATTGGTCATTGTTGTGCATTGAATAGTATGTATGTAAAAAGTCTAAAAGGAAAGAGTAATTGTTCATCTTTTTATCCCCTGCAAAGCTGTAGCACTGTTGTGATTGGCAATGGCACAGCCTGCAGAGAAACAGAAGCTTACTTTGCTGACTTAATTATGAAGAAATATTTTGCACCACTGGATGTTGTTTATTGGTAAGCTGGCTTTGCTTGCTGTATTACTCATTTGCTCAGCATATTTTAAGTTAAAAAGTAGCCTTAAATGTAATTGTTTGAAGTGTTTCTTTTAATTGCCTTTTCTTTCTTTTTTTGAGTAATCTTGACCCATCCTTCTAGTCAAAGGAAAATGGCTGTAGCTCTTTGGACTATGAAAATAGTTCTCCCAAATTAGTAAGAGAGACTCGCTGAAGCACTGTATTGCTGCTATTATTGTGACAAAGTAGGTGAGAGAATAGCAGCTCAAAAAGCCAAGGACCAAGGTTTGGCATTGTGTGTTTATTTCTTGATAAATGAGGTTTAAATGCAAATGGTAAAGCTCGAGTTGTCTTACTATGCTGTGGGATAGTTGCTAGTCCAATGGGTATTAAATGGTCTGGAAATAAAGATCTAGTTAATACCTAGCAGAAAGTAGTGAAAGTATTTAATGTCTTTAAATGTCAACATTTTATCCATTAGCTTGTTGAATTCAAACTATGCTAAATTGCTCTTTATTTGGCTGGAAACTGTACTGTATCACTTTATTTTCTGTCCTGCAGAACAGCATTCTTATTTTGAGTTTACACTTTTTTAAAGCATTTCTGATTATTTACCTTGGACTAAGTAGTGTGCTAAAATTTAACAGCAATATTTACTTTTCACTCTCTAAACATACTGAACAAAATTAACTAAATTTTTGAAAAACTTATGGCCTTTATCTGTTCAAACTACTATATGCGTTTAATGGAGCCTTTTCTCCATAGATTAGGAAGTTGTCTTACAAAAATGTTTAACAAATGTATTATTCCTACTAACTTATGCTATAATTTAATTGTACTTGTTCTTTGTTTCTAAAATTTCTAAGTAAATTTGCACAGAATCTAATATTAATCACCTTTCTATTTAAGGAGATATAGTAGGGGTTTTCTGATTTTACTTGTTTGCAAAGGAAAGAGGCTGTTCAAGATTCTGAAAAATTTGGCATCCTCTTTCCTGAATCCAACTTGAAAACTGGATTTTTAGTAATTGTAGAGAACGGAAGACACTTGATACTGTGTGGTTCATGGCAGATGTTTAATTTCACTGTTGTTCACTTCATATGGTTTAAAAATCCATTACATTGACATAAACAATTTCTCTGAAAGAGTAACAGTGATTTTTAAAAATTATTTATTGATCATATGCTACAAAATGCAAATACCTACTTAGTTTTCACAGAAAAAATTATTTATAAAATACTGTGGTTTATGGTTTTCTCACTGTGTTTTCCTTTTTTGCTTCAATATTTTTTGTCTGTTTATAGTTCATAAGTATAGAATTTGCAGAATAATTATCAGTGTTGGGGGTTTTTTTTGGGTCAGAACCAAGTTCTTGGAAGTGATAAAGGCTCTTGTGAAATAGGAATTAGTATAAATTCTCTTTAAGACAGAAGTCAGGTTATCAAGTAGATTGTTTTTTTCTAGTACTGGCAGAGAATTTTTAACCTTTAATTTTTTCCAAAACTTTTAATGTTTTTTGTAGGAAAAATACATAAATTCATTCTTTAACCTGCAAAATTAATTCCTGGAAGTGAAAATTAACATACTCAAAACCACTTATACTTTAGTATATTGTTAATGGTATTCTTCCCCTGTGCTCATATATGGTGAAGAGCTAGTCCTTCAAAACTTGGATGCAGAACACTGAGGTGCTGCATATTAAAATCAGAATAATTTTTTTGTACTGCATGCTATAGGTGACAAGTTTGATGCTGTTGAACTTTGTAAACTGCTGCTTATGTGTACGTTTATATATGTGGGTTTGCAAATAAGCTGGAGTTGGAGCTGGACTGTCACATTTTGACAGTGTTGACTGAGGTGTGTTTTGTTTTTTTTTTAAATTAAGGTTTCTATGTTGGTCTTTATCCAAGTGAGTTTTATGTGTATCTCATTGCATTATCCAGTGCTGGGCTTCCCAGTTACTCCACTGAGTCCTGCAAGATACTCGCTCTGTTTGCATTCTAGCTCCAGAAGTCTCCTTCATCTCCGTGGTAAATCTTAGTAACAGAAAAGAAAAATGAGCCCAGACATCCACACCCCCCACTAGCCAGTGAAATGCCTGGAATTTGTCAGTCTGAATTAAAGAAATGTAACTGATACTTGCTAAATGCAATTAGTACAGAATTATCATTTGAGCAATAGGTGACAGTATGCATGCATTGAGACAAGTGCTAGACCTCTTAAGGGAAACTATGAAATATAACTTTGAAAAATGAGTTCTTCTGCTCCTCTTTTAAATGAAAACAAAAAGTTCCCCAGAGCATGCACTCTCAGATCACAAAAAAACTTTTCTGTTTCCATGTACCAAAATCTTCCCTTTATTATGTTTTTTTTTTTCTCATGATAGGGGAAAATATGAGGACTTTGTTTATATATAGGCTGAGTACAGATCTCCAATGAGTTCTGTGGAAAGCCATGGTATGCTTTGGCATTAAGTGATCTTCGTAAGTTGTTTTTCTCTTAAAGTCTCTAAGAAACAATTTAACTAATGTTGGAACACTTAATTTTTACAGATCTGCTTCAGCAGGTTGTAGTAACAAAAAAATGGATTTACAAATCAGTTTAGTGTTTAAACTGTGCGAAAGTAAAAGAAAACACACAAAAAACCAAACCAAACAAAAAAACCCAGAACGGAAACAAACCCTCCAGTACTTGGATGATAGCAGAATGAATCAGTTGCATCTAACGTGATACCATTTCCCAAGCATGAGGCTTCTCACAGTGATACACTGAGCTGCATGAAGGTAGAAATCCTTGCCCAGCAAAACAGAGCTCAGCTCGTTGGTGTGTGCAGGTTTTGGAGAACTGGTAATTTTATTTGCATTTACAATCTTCTTTTCCTGAACTGTGTCCAAATTTAAAGTGGCTTGGCTGATGAGGCTTGACTTGTTTTATAGTGCTTTAAAACCAAAATCCCAATCAACTTCTTAAACTGTTGTCCAGAAAGGTGGCTGATAGGTACTACAGACCTCGGCTGCCTTGGCAAATAAAGCTTGTAATATGATACTACTTTTTTTGTTATTGTTGTTGTTAGAAGTGGAGAATAGGATCAGAAATTCTTTTAAAAAACTTAAAATCTGCTCATGTTTTTATGTCCAGCTCATAATGTGGAACTTGTATTGTGCATTTCCAGGGAAATGAGTCAATAATAGTGTCTGTAATTGTAGAAAGGAGGTGTGCGTCATTAGTGCATGCACAAATCATCTGCACAGGTGTGCTCGGTGAAGAACGTTAATGATGGTAACCAGTTGAAAACTTAATTGATTGCATGTATGTGCAGTACATGCTGAAATAGTCTCTCTACTACTAAAGTCCTGTACAGTGATTTCAGAATTGTGCATGAAGTTAGTCCTTAGCTTCAGTATCCCACTCTAGTGAGCACTTAACTAGAGACTTAAGTGAGAACAGCATTTCACCTCTTTATTTTCAGCTGTGGCAAGAATCAAATTAACTGATTCTCACTTTTGATTCTCAATATTTCAATTGTATCAGTATCAAAGCAGACTTCTAAAATTTTCTTCATTTCAATTTCTCTCAAAATCATTACACAGTATTGTGTTTGACTGGTTTGTCTTTTTTAGTGCTGATAAATATAGAAAAAGTAAGCAATTAAAATAATTAATCCTCAACAATGGCAAGTTCAAGCTACATATAGTTTTACTGATGTTTTCCAAAGAGAAGAAAAATGAGTGAAACAGTAGTAGGAAGTAAGGCATATAGCACCATCGCACCGTTTTTCATGTGGCTTAAAAGCCTGTCTTGACACAGGTTGACAGTTTTTTATTTAAAGCAAATATTTTCCACTATTTTTGTAACCAATGTGCTTTCAAATACCTACATCAAATCTAAATAACTGCAGGACTTTTTTTAAAAAATGTCATTTCCCTTTTAGGGCTATGTTTATTGACTTAGATTAGGACTGGACTAGAGCCCAGAGACAGTCATATCTAGTCTTCAGGGTTTTTGTTACAAATCAGCTTTTGTTACAAGATTCAATAAATATTCTTGATTATTTATGTTAGTTCTATTGTGAGTTCTTGCCAAAGATACATTGTATTATAACCAAAACAGATGTTCTGTTTTAGACAAGTGTATTTGTTTTAACAGGACCAGTAATGTAAATGAAACAACAGTGTGTTCAGTATTATCATGGCTGATGATGAACTTTTAGGATTTCATTTGCCTTTCTCTATTAAATGAAAATCTTGAAAAAATATTTCAGGAATCTCATTCCATATTTCAATCACTGCCGCTATTTTTCTTTGATTGCTGTTGGTTTTAGGCTTCTTGGAAATGAAAGCTATCCGAATGACAGGTGAACTGTGCTAGAGCAGGACAACACAAACAATCCTATTTGGAAAAAAAATAATCACAATTTTTCTTTCAGCCTCAGTGGTTTCATTGTCACAAACAAACATTCTTAATGGTCTGACAAATTATGAGCTTGTTACATTAATGCACACTCAGAATAAGGTATTTCTTTTTTAAAAGAAAGTTTGATAGGTGTGAATTGTTAATCGTTTTCAACAAGCAGTAAAGAATGCAGCCAGGCAAGTGTATTTTGTGGTTTTTTAGGTGGCTTCATGTTTAATTTCTGTTATACTTGGTTTTAAACTTGATACAAAATCCTTTTCTACCACTTTCAGCAAAATCTTTTCTTGCTCTTGAGACTTTATAAGCAATGTAATTAATAATTTACTGCTGTTTAAGTTCAAACACTTTGGTACTGTGACAAATAGGGGAAAGTCTGTAATGACTTATAAAGTTCTCATTGGGTTTTCTTTAATGTTTAAATTGTCTGCTTTAGAATACTTAGAAATGTTCTGCTAAGGTAGATGAGGACTGTTTAATACCTTTTGAAGTTGGACCTTGGTGGCAAGAAATTGATTTGGAAATGTTTGTTCTACAGGATTTTAGGTCCGCTTGTATTTTATAGGTGTCTGCACATGCTTTAAATATCCT